TCAGAATAAGATTCACACTGGGATTACTGTTTTGAACAATAGATGCTGTCATTACCAGAAAGTCTATAATTATCTTCAAAAGGAAAATAAGGAAAAGGACTGGGGTAAAAAAAAAACAAGTGGGACCCTCCCCACCAAAAAGACCTAAAAATAAGATGAGAGCCTGAGAAATAGTAGGGGTAAGGCTTTTCTCTTACGTGGTATTGAGCTAGTTCTATCCCTGGTACTTCAAATGATGCCCAAGCATCACCAGGAGTGATTCAGGAGCACAGAGCCAGCGGTAGTTCCTGAGCACGCCAGATTTGACCCAAACCCTTCCCACCATCGCCAAAATAAAAAAAAAAAAGATGATGATGTAATTCAGTGATAGAGCTCTTGCCATACAGATATGAGGTTCTGAGTTCAATCTCCAGCACCGCAAAATAAATAATAAAAAGCAAGATGGGGAAGGGAGCAATAGCATAGCAGGTAGGGCATTTGCCTTGCACGCAGCTGACCTAGGTTCAATCCCCGGCATCCCATATGGTCCCCAAGCCCCACCAGGAGTAATTCCTGAGTGCAGAGCCAGGAATAAATAACCCCTGAGCATCACTAGGTGTGACCCAAAAAGAAAAAAAAATCAAGATGGCTTTCTCATAGGATATGTTCTCTGAAATACTAGTCCCATTAGCAGTTTTATGGAATTCACATTAAGGCAATTTGAAAGAAAATAGGAAACATAAAGTTACAATATGGAAAGACAGATCTACCATTTGAACTAAACACATCAAAAACAGAAACTATGACAACAATCTTTTGTCTGAAACATTTCTTTGCAAGCAATGCCTTGTGCCACAAGCAATTTCAAACCACAACACAGTTGGTGTACCCAACTAAAGGGAGTAATCCACAGCAACGGCCCAAATTAAAAGGATATATAAACCCCACAGCCAGCAATAATCCCTTCCACCCTCCACTCCCAGGTCAAGAGTGATCACTGAGCACAAAGTCAGGAGTGAGACCTGAGCACCACCGGGTGTGGCCCCCAAACAAACAACAGAATGTCCTTGAGACTACATCAATGTTTGTAAGAAAAAGAGACTGCTGCTCAAATCTCCTGTCATTAGATCCCAGTTTCACAAAGACCAAGAAGGTAAACTAAGATTGCAGAGGTGGGGCTTAAGAAGGGAGGGGGGTTGGAATCCTGGGAGAGGGAGGTGGGTGATGGATGTGGAGTTGGAATTATCTGCATGAGAAACTATTATTCATAGTATTGTAAACCACAATGGGGCGGAGCGATAGCACAGCACATAGGACGTCTCCCTTGCACGTGGCTGACCCGGGTTGGATTCCTCCATCCCTCTCAGAGAGCGTGGCAAGCTACTGAGAGCGTCCCGTCCATACGTCAGAGCCTGACAAGCTTCCTGTGGCGTATTGGATATGCCAAAAACAGTAAAAACAAGTCTCACAATGGAGCCGTTACTGGGGCTCACTCGAGAAAATTAATGAACAATGGGAGGACAGTGCTACAGTGCTACATTGTAAACCACAGAGTCTCAATCAACAATTTTTTTAAACAATCAAATAAGTTTTATTTATTCATTTATTAATTTATTTATTTATTGCAGAGGCATCCCCAGGACACCCAGGGAAGCTCAGAACTCTGCTCTAGTAATACCTCCTGGGCCCCAGAAAACGTTTTTTAATGCGTTGGAAAGTGCCAAATACCATGAAAGGTCTTGTGCTTCTGCCAACCTCAGAGACGGTCTCTGCTTGGGATCATGAGAAGGATTTGAGCTAAAATGCTTGGGGAATAAAGAGACTAATTAATTCTCTTATTAAATACTTCATCTCAGAGAGCATGCATCGACTGATTCTTATCTAACCAAGTAGTGTTTCCCAGTAGACCAAACATTCAAATTATCACTTCTCTTTGCATAGAATTAATTTGTTTGGGAAATTTAAAAAGTAGAGGATTGCTCACAATTGTTGCACATGGTATCAAAGCAGTACTAATTTTGCAGTACTAAATCAGGCAAGTGCGGACATACACATATGTACATATAAGATATAACACGTGAAACTGATACTAGGTCTCCACATTGGCAGAAATGTGAACATTAAACCCTAAAACTTCGGTTGGAATGATAGGCGAAAGCACTTGCCTTTCATATAATACAGCTGACCCAGGTTTGATCCCTCGCATATGATCCCCTGAGCGCTGCCTGGAGTGATCGATCCCTAAACTCAGAGCCAGGAATAGCCCTAGGCACTGTTGGGTGTGGCCCAAACAAACAAACAAACAAACAAAAAACAAAACTGCAAATAGTATTTCACCATAAATATTTACAAAGGAGGCCAGGAGATGACTCAGTCTTTCTGGACTAACATGCCCCAGATCTCTTGGAAGAGAGCATAAAATGACGCCCCATGCTATCAAACCCAGGCCCGGCTGTTTCATTTGTGGCAACCAGGAGGGGGTCAGATGAGTTTCCCTCCCAGCCCCAAGGACCCAAGGATGGCATTCAAAAACCCCCAGAACAGACACCTCATACCTCACACCACTAATATTCCAAGAATGTGCACCACATTTGATGAGCTTTAAAGTAAAAGGCAACCATCTTAGAGGGAAATATATTTTTACAGATATAGACATATAAATATATATATGAAAGCACATAAGGTTCAACCTTTAACAACATGTTAGTAATTTCTTACAGAAGGGCTTAAGGGTCCCTGGATGCAATACAACAATCTTTATGCACTTTCCTCTAAGGAAACTTTTTTGGATCATTTTCAGTGGTTTTTCATAACAAACAATACAAAATAAATTATTTCAGTTCTGCTCTGCAGCAGGGGTTGGAGTTCAGTATGGAAATTCCTGAAATATGGTGGTGGGAAGTTGTAATGGTGGTGGGATTTGTGTTCGAATGTTGAATGTAATAAAATATTGTGAACTTACATTATAAAAATTGAATAAATAAATAAATGCCCCATATTGTAAGCATGAGGCCAGGAGTTTTGTGCTGCTCATAGGCTCCAAGGAAAGTTCTGGCAGCTCTGAGCCACAAGCAATGTCCAACTACAACACAGTCAGGTTTTTCCAACTAACGGGTGCAATCCCCAGCAAAAACCAAAACTAAAAGGGTATGTAAGTTCCACAGCCAGCAGTGATCCCTCCCACCCTCCACTTCCAGGTCAGGAGTGATCTCCCAGCACAAAGCAGTGCGGCCCCCCAAAAAACGAAAGAATGACCTTCCGACTTCATTAGCACATATGATGCTTCTTTTTCCCCTTTTTGGGTCACACCCAGCAATGCTCAGGGGTTACTCTTGCTCTGCACTCAGGAATTACTCTGGCGGTGCTCAGGGAACCATATGGGATGCTGGGAATCGAACCCGGGTCGGCTGAGTGCAAGACAAATGCCCTACCCACTGTACTATCACTCCAGCCCCATATATGATACATTTCAATGATAATTTGGGAAGGCAGGATACACCCATATGTGCTGAGGGTCTGTTTCTGGCTTTGTGCTCAGGAGTGACCCCCAGCAGTGCTGAGAGAATTGTAGAAGGGCCCAAGGATTGAACTAGGTCAGCTGTGCACAAGGCCAGCCTCTTATTATTTTTCTGGCCTCTAAAATGGCAACTTTAACTTTGATTTATACTTTTTTATCTCTATTAATCAAAATTATTTTGTTCTGCAGTAGAGGAATTTCAATATTCTAGAACAATATAAAACACTAAAACAACTCAAGTTAAACATTTTCAAATTTACGTTGATTTTGATATGAATTATTCAACTTTTGTTTAGTCTGAGCACAATTTGTTTTTTAATCCTTTAGGCCGAGCCTCTCGGGAAAATATTATGTAAAAACTCTTCATCATACCAACCTAATTAGTATAATTTTGCTAGGAAAGAGAGAAAATTTAATTTTGTAGAGCAAATAAAAATATAAGAGCAAGGAAAGTCTTTAGTACTCATCGAAACATCGCTGGCCCGTGAACAGAACACATAAATGTGCCTAATGATAATTACATCCATTGACTTTAATGCTTTGCCAGATTTTAGTCATTTAAAAACCATATAAGGCCATAAAAATTAAGGCATTTTTACCCTTCCTCTCTATTTTGTCTGTAAGTATGTGAAAATATATTTTTCAAGTACGGGAAGAAAAACTATTTTTCTTAGGTACATTGGCTGGAGCGCCATAAAGGAGATTGAAGAAAAACAGATTTATAAGAGAAAAACCAACAGAAGTTTGTTAATATGTACACGATGCATACTCAGGGGAGAACTCAAGAGAGTAATGCAAAGGCGTAGCTAGAACTCGGGCTCTTGGAATTTTTATTGAAGAACTATTAGTTAGTAGAGAAGGAACAAGATGAAAGAAAAGTTTGAATTTCTAGGAGTAGCCAGCCGTGGAAAGCAAAATTACCAAAAAAGCAATAAATGAGGAACTGATGGCAGAAAAGCTGAGTTTGAACTGGATTTGTTGATTCTGCTGATGCCATCTCTGGGTTCTGGAGATTCTCCTCCGGTTCTACCTAGCCTTTAGTCCTTTTGGGTGTGAATTTTGCCTTAAGAAATGAGGAAAATGATGGGCTGGAGCAGTAGTACAGTGGGTAGGGCGTTTGCCTTGCCTGTGATGGACCTGGGTGGTGCGATCCCCAGCATCCCATATGGTCCCCCGAGCACCACCAGGAGTAATTCCTGAGTGCAGAACCAGGAGTAACCCCTGAGCATTGCCAGGTGTGACCCAAAAAGAAAGAAAAAAAAAGGAAAGAAAAAGAAATGAGGAAAATGAGGAGAATGTCTCCCCTTCCTTATCCTTTCCTAAGGGATAAGGGGATGGAGATCTTTTATGGTTTTCTTTTCTTTCTTTATTTTTTGTTAAGTTGTCATTGTTTTTATCTTTTCTCCTTTTGGTTCACACCCAGGTGTGCTCAGAGCTTACTCCTGGCTTCGTGCTCTTTGACCACTCTGAAGAAATAAGCCACACCAAAAGCAATGGCAACGCCATGACAGGCAGCAGAAATGAGAAAAATCAGGTAGGCCTCAGGTTCAGTTCCTGGAACTGAAATAGTTTCGGTTTCCCAGAAATCAAACAATGCATAACTAGCCAGGCTGACCCCACCTGGAAGGTTCCTGGGTCCAGCAAGTGGGCTCAATTAATCCCTATGTTCCAGAAATTGTCTTTTGTTAACCGTAAAGAATGAGTAGCTTATGGAACCATATGCTATATAATGTCCCCTGAAACTAGAGTTAGGGTCCTTGTCAAGACTCCACTGCATTGGATGAGACTTGGACCCTAGCTCGAGCTAGCAGTAAAATTCCTTGCTTTTGCATCACAGAATGATCTCAAGCCCAGTTTTACAACTCCCGGAAGTGTTTGGGGAACCATATTGGTATTGAATCCTGGTTGGCCACATGCGAGGCAAGCGCCTTACCTACACAATCCTAAAATGACAGAAACCTTCATCTGAAACCTTTACTTGTGGTCCCACCAGAGGAGTGTCTCTAGGAATCAGCTCCTGAAAGAATTCTATTCCTCTCCCTGGTGCCTGCCAGCCTAGAATCCACCCTTCTTGCAAATCTTAAAGTGGGCTTCCCTGCTCTCTATCTCCGTGAAATCCACTTCCTGCAACCCTGCAGACCAGAGGGTTGCTTTGAGGACAGCTGTTCTCCCTTGTCCAATCTACTCGTCCCTGGCCAGTAATTTCTTCTCAAACTGCCATTGTGTCTGGTTTGGCTAGCCCTGGAACCGCGCTGGAACTGAGTCTTTAGATGTACAGGTAGAGGAGGAAAAGGAGTAACCTTTACAGATTCATGCCTGCTTATAAGCAAGTGGGAGAGAGTAGCCACTTTAGCTGGTATCTTCTTAAAAATTGCCTTCAGCTCAAAATATTCCTTAAACTGAAGCAGCCTATTCTGCCACTGCTGTTCGTGCTGGGGCTGGTCACCAGTATGTGGATCACGAGAGAAGTCACGGTGAGCATTATAGATGAGAGGAATGCTTGGTAGGGAATGGGACACTTGCAAAACAGCACTGGGTCTTTCTCTCCAAAGAGCAAGACACAACGCTACTCTTTGTTGGGGTTTACACCACCTTTCTTGGACGATACACGTACAACTGGGAATGTGACCCGGCCTGGGAAAGTCTGCCTTATCATGCAGATACTTCCTGAAGCTTCCTGACAATTATTGTTGTTGAGCTGATATATAAGTTTTCATCCATTGGTGTTACTAATGAGAACGGAAATACAATGAGACATTGGCATGGGGGTGGGGTGGGGGGAGCAATGGGACTTGTGTGCCCGTTGCAGTTGCCTGACAGTCTTAGGCTTGTATTCCTGGCTTCCTGCACCTGGGTCTGCACCTGGACACAAAGAACCTCCTAGATACTTTTATTTTCATGTTTTTTTTTATTTTATTTAATTATTTTATTTATATTGAATCACTGTGAGATAGGCCCTTACAATGCTGTTCATAATTAGGTTTCAGTTATATAGTGTCCCAACACCCATCCTTCCACCACTGCACATTTCCCAGCACCAATGTCGCCAATTTCCTGCCTGTCACCCCCTCCATCTTCCCCACACACACACCAGCCTGCCTTTATGACAGGAACCTCTCTCTTTCTGTCTGTCTGTCTGTCTGTCTGTCTCTCTCTCTCTCTCTCTCTCTCTCTCTCTCTCTCTCTGTCTGTTGCATCATTGTTTGCAACACAGATACTGAAAGGTTCTCATATGTATCCCTTTTCCTACTTTTAACACTCAGTTCTGGTTCAGTGTGATCATTTCCAACTATTATTTGTCATTGTCATACTGGCTAGACAGTGTTATTTTGTAAATGTATCACCACTTAGCAAAAAAATGAAGGTGAAGCTCTCCAATATTCATCACTTCACAAGGAAGGAGGATAAACTGTGTTTTATTTCATTGTCTCTAAGTTGACTTGACTGCAGCGATAGCGCAGTGGGTAGGGCGTTTGCCTTGCAGGTGGCCAACTAGGCCCACCCAAGTTCGATTCCTCCGCCTTTGATTCCTCCGCCCCTCTCGGAGAGCCTGAAAGCTACCGAGAATATCTGGCCCACACGGCACAGCCTGGCAAGCTCCCCGTTGATGTATTCGACATGCCAAACAAGTCTCACAATGTTACTGGGCCCACTTGAGCAAATCGATGACCAACGGGAGGACAGTGACAGTGACAGAAGTTGACTTGAAACTCATCAATATTTGGATATACAGGGCTGTAGCGATAGTGTAGGGGTTAAAATGCTTGCCTTGAACACACCCAGGTTCAAATCCCTGGTATCATGTGTGGTCTCCTGGGTACCACCAGGGATCACACCTGAGCACAGAGACAGGAGTAGTCCCTGAGTGCAGCCAGGTGTAGCCTCAACTCCCCTACATAAATATTTGGATATATGGTTATTGGGTCTCTGTTTGCTCTCATGCTCTGTGATCGCTACAAATGTCAGAGGTAATATGACTGCTTAGAAGAGCAGTCTAAACAGAAGTAGTTTAGAAAAAAAAAAATTATAACTCTTTCCAGGGAAGAAAAGCTTGAGAAAGTGAATACAAAAGAATTTTTAAAAAATTGACAGGACTGAAGTCATTCAAAAGAATAGACAAAGGATCCAGTACATGCAGAGTAGTTGCTGCAGTTAAAATTCATTGTTACTGTCACTGTCATTGTCCTCCCGTTGTTCATCGATTTGCTTGAGCGGGCCCAGTAACGTCTCCATCGTGAGACTTCTTGTTACTGTGTTTGGCATATCGAATACGTCACGGGGAGCTTGCCAGGCTCTGTCATGCGGGTGAGATACTCCCGGTAGCTTGCCGGGCTCTCTGAGAGGGGCGGAGGAATTGAACTCGGGTCGGCCATGTTGGCTGTGTGCAAGGCAAACGCCCTACAGCTGTGCTATCGCTCTAGCCCAGTAAAAATTCAGCAAAAAAAAAAAAAAAAAAAAAAAAAAGGATCCAGAAATACAGGGAAGGATGATTAAAACAACAACAACAACAAAAAGAGAATCTGTATATTGAAGACAAAGTTCTTGAAAGGTGAGAATCATATAGAATGAACACATAAGAAGGAGACATTGGTTAATGTCTCAGGTGGTAAAATCTACTTTTGGGGTGCAGAGGAAAAGAAAAACTATCAAGGTTTAAGGCAGTAGTGAGATTGTCAGCTATGAAGACCTCCGCAGAACTGGTCCATTTCTACTCCAGCCCCAATGATCTCAGCATGGGAAGCCCAGAGGCACCAGGAGAAATCAGGTAGGGAGTGGAAGGAAGTGGGGAGGACCGTGCCTCAAGAGATCGTCTTTATCACAGATGCTAAGTCTTTGTTCTAGTATTTCCTCTCACCTTACATCTGCCAGACACAACCATCCCAAACTCAAAAGTTCAAGTATGTCTTTACCACTTGGATGGGAATGATAGAAAATTACCATATGCCAGCTGAAGCAAATACTTTGTTACTTTAGTATGTTGCTTTAATGTCTTTGTTTCCCCCCTATGAAGAATAGCGCAACAGTTGAAATGTTATATAAATTGGGACCTCCTTGGTTGGAGAGAGAGGGCAAGGGGGTACAATGAACTAGATATGCTTCACTAGGTTTTTTTTCTTTATTTATAGTGCTGGGGAATCAAACCAAGGACCTTGTATTCTGTCAGGAAGCCACACCTCAGTGCTAACTGGGATTGCCTTCATGATGATGGGCTCCTTTACTCCAGGGTGATTCTCATTTTGACTCTGAATAACCTCCTTCTCTTCTGCTACACCTGGAATGACTCATTTCACAGCAGAAATTATTTCAGTTTCTATCTTACATCACCATTATGAGGTCCAGTGGTAATTAGGCTGTCTCCTGACATGCTTTAAGTACTTGAGTGTCTTACTTCTCCCCCTTCTCACTTACTGATTCTTATCTGCAGCGATGGTGGAGGGACTTACTCTCGCATGCAAAATGAGAGCTGTAAATCGGCACAGCAGGAGTGTCCCTCAACCTTAGCACTGTCACAGCTCAACTATGGTTGGAGTCATCTTTTATTTCCACACTCCAGGCTGGTATCAAATGCTGGGATTACTGGAGGTCTGCTGCAGTCTTTCAGAGGAGAAGCCAAGCAAAGAAAAGAAGGACCCCTCCTTCTGTTAGATACCACCCCATCAGTGGGTCTACCATTATCTGTCTTGCTAAAGGGATGGAGGCAAGCATTGACCCAAACAATGTTTATAACAATGTTCTCTCTGCTCCAGCATCACAGGACACAGCCATGAAACCCAGTCTTAAAACTGAGACCCCTCACTCACTGTCATGGCACTGTGTCTTCCTCAGGACGTGCCCACTGTAGATTCACATACTCGCAAGGGTGGGTAATCAGTGTGTTTTGCTTATTCCATCTCCACCAAGCCTCGGCCTTCCTTTGGGGGTGATTGCACAAAATAATAAGCTCAGAGGTTAGGGCTAAATCACCAGCACAATCCATCCTTCACTAGCAGGTCTTGGGGCCAGCACTCCTCCCTTCTCAGCTGACTGCATGCCCAGAAGGAATTCCGTGGAGAGTTCCACTGTGGTGAGATGCCTAGAGGAACACCCTTCCTTCTTCACCCTGCAGACCTACTTAGTCCTATGGCTGTGCTTGGCATTTCTCAAGTTTTCTTCCTAGGTCAATCCCAGTCTACAATTTGCTTTGGAAACAAAGAAGAATGCAGAGAAGTTGTAGGTAGCCCACAAAGTCAAAAATATTTACTATCTGATCTTAAATTTGTTGTTGTTGTTGTTGTTGGCTCTTTCTTCTCTCTCACTTTTTCTCTTATCGAAAAAAAGGAAAAGAAAACAATTGTCACCACATTATCTGTCTTGCTAAATAAATGGTTTAGATCACTTTCATTGAATGCAAAGTTGACACAAGAACAGCCACACCCAGTGGTTCCAAGAGCTCACTCTTACTCTTGGATCTACAGTCCGGCCTCACTTGTGAAGGGGCTCGAGGGAATATATAGGCAGTGCCAGGTATCAAACGTAGATCAGTCTTGTGCAAGACAAATGCCCCAGATGCTATACTATCTCTCCAGATTCTCTTTCTTCATTCTTAACATTCTAAGTGTCCTTTTACTATGTCTTCTACCTATTTCCCTTCTACCTAGTGAATTTCCTTGAGCAGTTATTTTTACAGTGTCAGGTATCAAACCCAGGGTCTCACACACGCAAGGTAAGCACTCTACTGATGAACTATATCCCCAGCCCTTAGCAATTCCTTTCAATCAAGCCTGCTGGTCTCCAAGCACTGGCAGGTATGTCTGCCTAAACATAGAGCCAAGAGTAGTCCCTGAGCTCCAGAGGGTGTGCCCAATGCCCCCCCCCCAAGTCTATGTTTTTCTTCTACAAGACGGTCATCGTTCAACTTTGTATCACTTGTATCACTTGTCATCCCATTGATTTGCTCGAGTGGGCGCCAGTAACATCTCTATTCATCCCTGTCTCATGCTAGTGTATGAGACAATGGCATCTGCTTGCTCCAGGAACACGAAGAGCCTCAAATGGTTTGTTCCGGGTTTTGACGAAGAAGTCTGACCATCTGGTAGGTGGGCAGCGATGTGTCCTTATGACATACCGTGGAATCCAGTCAGTAACAACTCTAATCCAATGTCGTCTCTAAATTGCATTACGTGTCCAGCCCATCTGATTTTCGATGCCTTGGCAAACAAGACACTGTCCCTGATTATTGATTGTCAGTGGAGGTCGGAATTCCGTATTCCTTCTCTCACTTGAGTGAAGCGTGATACTCCAAGCATAGCTCTTTTGATTCTTCTTTGGGAGACCCAAATAGTGTTCTCATCCTGTTTTCATAGGGCCCAGGTCTCTGAGGCGTATGTTAGCACAGGAAGAACTTTATTCCCAAATAAATTTTAGCTGGGTATAGAATTCTTGTTTGACAGTACAGTGTAGAAGGATCCCAGAGGGTCTTATAAACAGCAAATTCTACATCAGTTTAGCAGTTCATTGAAATTTTATCCATCTTCCACTGTTTGCCACGGTCCTCAGTATCTGTTCTATGCCTTCTCTTTAGGTCTCATAGTCTCACTGAGTTGGAGCAATAGGAGAAGTGATCTCAAGCCATTTACCCAGAGCCAGAACCCTCTCCTCACCCTTTGCAACTCTTTCACTGAGGAGAGGAGCTAATCTGATGTGTACTGGTAAATGGGGTCATTGTGTTAAAGGTCACACCCAGCCCTGTCCCAGGTCCTCGTTCACCCTTTGACCTGCCTGCACTGGGATAATCAATCTTGCCCTTTTCTGTTTGCCTGGCAATGCACTTGAGAGCAGGCCCATGACCTCTTCCAGAGTCAGCTCTGGGAATGTGTGGGAACCCCAAGATCTCACAGCTACTGGGTTTCAGAGGTATGCTCTATGAATCCAACTCAGTTCACAGATGGATCCTACATCTTGAAGTAGGGTGAGAGCAGGGGCTCCCTACTGTGGCTGGTCCAATCTATGTCAGAAAGACCAGAACTCAAGGGATTGTTCAGACCCCCCACCAATGCCCCCGTAAGAAGATATTTTTATTTTGGTCATTAGACTCCAGTATCTAGGTTTTCTGTCCATTAGACTCCTATATTAGTCAGGATTAGAGATAAGAATCTGGCACATATATACAATTGAACTCTACTTTGCTAAGAAGAAAAAAAAAAACGAAATCTTGCCTTTTGCCACAACAAAGATGCAACTGGAAAGGAAGTAAGTTACAATGCAGAAGAGAAATCCTGGACAATCTTACTCTTATGTGGGATATAAAGAAACAAAACAAGGAGGTAGAAAAAGCCCAACAAACATTCACCCTTGGACTCTGACCACAGTACAGGGATTAGCTAAACTGAAAGACTGGAAAACCCCAATGGACTGTGATGGAGGGAAGTACTGGGATTTAGGTGAAAGATATAGTGTGGTAACATGCATTATAATGAGACATAAACTTGAGATCTAAAGCCTAGTCTTATAAGTTAATGTTACCTCTGTTGTGAGAATAGAACAACCAAAAAAAAAAAAGCAACATTTGTCACTCCTTTATTCAAGAAAAAGTCATATTTAACCAAAATTGGAACTGATATTTATTATGTACCAGCTATGTGCTACACTAAGAACTTCACTAAGGTCATTAATAGCATTACTTTTCTAAAAATTAGGGTTCTGAATCATCAGTGGGTAAGGTGCTTGCCTTGCATGTGGCAGACCAGGGTTCAATTTTTGGTACCACATATGGTCTCCCAAACACTGCCAGAAGTGGGCCCCAAGTGCAACTGTTTATGGCCTCAAAAAACCTTACCCAAAGGGATTAGGGGTTGTTTCTAGCCATGTTGGGGAGACCATGTGGTTCCAGGGATCTAATGGGGGTCAATTGCATGCAAGCAAAAGCCTTCATCCCTGTATTATATTTTTCAGTCTCAGTATTTAAAGATATATGTGTGTGTGTGTATATGTATGTATGTGTGTATGTATGTATGTATACTTGGGGACCACACCCAGTGGTGCTCAGGACTTTCTCCTGGCCATATGCTCAGGGATCACTCCTGACTGCCTCCGGGGACCATATATGGTACCAGAGATCAAACCCAGGTGGGCAGCGTGCAAGGCAAGCGCGCCACCCCGTTGTACTATCGCTCTGACTCCCTCTTTACATTTTGATGGTTACACCTCTCTGATAAGTGCTCAGTAAGTCTTACAGCTCCAAACGTAGTCTTCGCTAATCGTTTATGTGTAAGCATTTTGATGTATAGGAATTCTCTCAGAGCAAAAACCAATACAAAATCATATTTTGTTGTATCTCTTATCCTGGCATCTTGTGTATTTTATTCATTCTCTCAACAAACATCCGAGACCGAAGAAATACCTCAACGGGCTGAGCACTGGAAGCCCGAAATTCTATCTTGGGCACGGCACGGTCCCCAAGAACCTCAGGGAACCCACCCCCAACCCCAACCCCAGCACAGAGTCATGATGTCCCTGGACCCCCGCAACTGAGAAGCATGTAATCCCCCCACCCACCCCCACCCAGCGCTGTGTGCCCCCTGCGTACTCCAGCAGCGGAGCTGGGAATGGCCCCAAACGGACAAAAAAAAAAGCGTCTGCAGAGTTTACACGTGGGCTGGCAACTGACAGGAGCGGCAGGCGTTCACAACGTGCACCCACCCGACCCCCACTAGGTCCCAACCATCCACGCCCGGAGTTTGAAAGCCCCGACTGGGACTCTCTCTCTAGCGTGCGAGGCTGGGGAACAAAAGTCCAACCCGTCGTATCGCCTTTAAAAGTATCGGCCCGGCTGAGCACCCAGCCCCAGAGCCCGGTTAATCATTTCTCAGAACCCGCCCCCACGCCACACCTTCGCGCACCCCAGGGGGTGCTGCGGGGACCCTGGGCGGGTCCCGACGGGCACGGGGCGGGGTGGTGGGGGTGGGGGTATGACATCCCCTTTGCATATGCAAACTAGGCCGGTGCCGGGGCCCCCCCGGCAGCCTCGGGGAGCCCAGGGCCGCGTCCGGCTCCTGCGGCCAAGCCCGCGCCCAGACGGGGCGGGAACGCTGGGCCCACCCCTGCTTGGCCGGTGACGCGCCCCGCCCCGCGCCCCCGCCCGCCCCCGCCGCGCGTCACCGGCGCCGCTCGGAGCCGCATGAACGCGCGCCCGGGCCCGGCAGCGCCGCGGGGATGGATCGCGGCTGGGAGGCGGGCGGAGGGTGGGGGACCCCGGGTGGTCGCCGCCGGCTGGTGCGCTGGCCCCCCGACGGCTGCCGCGGCGTGTCCGGCTTCCCCGGCGGCTTGGGGCTGCTGCGCCCCGGGGCCCGGGCGTCCCGCGGCGCCGCGTCACGTGCCTCCCCGCTGCTCCTCCTCCTGCTGGTGCCGTCCCCGCGCCTGGCCACCGCCGCCCCGCGCCGCCAGCTCGGGGACTGGGAGTGTCTGCGCCCCGCGCCCACCGCGGCCGCCCGGTGCCACGCGTGCCACGGCCCGACGGCCGCGCTCGCGCGCTCCAGGAGAGGTGAGGCCGGGCGGGCGCGGGGCGCGGGGCGCGCGGGGCTGGCACCTCCCGAAGGGGAGGGCCCGGCCACCCCGGGGTGATCGGGGTCAGCCGCGGTCACCCGGCTCCTCCCGGGGCGTGGGGACGAAGGTCTGGCTGGCCCCGCCCTCCTCGCCGGCGGAGACCGGGCCGGGTGTTTCTTGAGGGGCTGGGAGGGGGGGTGTTCAGGGCCACCGGGTTGGGGGCGCAAGTTTTCACCGGTGCCCTCGGTGCAGGGGCGGATGCTGGGACCACCGCTTGGGGACCAGCCGGGTGCCGGAGTTGTGCGCGCAAGCCTGAGACGAGATAGGGCCGTTGAGACGGGGACGGATAGTGCTTCCTCGTCCGGGAACTGAAACCGAGGCGTGCATTGGCACGTGAGGCGCTGGCGTCTGGCCTGTGCCGGGCCCGCTCCCGGTGCGCCCCCCCCTGCCCCCCGGGACCTGTGCCCACAGATCTTTCCCTTCCTGGAACTCAAGTCCAGGGTCGAGCACTCTCAGGCAAGATCGAAGTAGTCGGGAGCAAGAGAGAGAGAGAGAGAGCGCGCACGACGGCATGGAGTTTGCTTTGCACGCAGCTGACTCTAGCTGGATCCCCGGGTGTAAACTCTGAGCACTGAGCCAGGAAGGAGCCCTGAGCACAGCTGGGTGTGGCCCAACAACCCACAACCTCCCCCACCCCACGCCCGTTTTAACTGCATAGCTGTTCAATGACAAGACTATTACTGAGGTGAAGTTTGAGGACGTAATTATGCACAGCCAGTTTGAAATAAATATGATTTGCACGATTGATCAGAGATAGGAAAGAAATGGAAGGGTTAAGGGGAAAGGAAGTTGGGGGGGGAGGGAGTTGTCCTATGAGTTTGGAGGGTCATTAAAACAGGTTTCACCCAAGAAGTGTCATTTGACTCCGTTTGATTTAGAAATGAGGGCAATCGAGGACATCTGAGATACGGAAGGAAAACAGACTATTTTCTGGGTAGGGTGGATTGTCAGGTGTTTTTGTTTGTTGGTTTTGGTGTTTGGGGTTACACCTAGTGGTGCTCAGGGCTTAGTCCTGCTCTGTGCAGAGATCACTCCTGGCAGGGCTCTGAAAGCCATATGTGGTGCTGGGGACCGAATCTGGATCAGCTTCGTGCAAGGCAACCACCTCACCCTCTGTACTCTCTCTCTCTCCAGTCCCATAAATTGTGAGTTTTCCGAGTCTTTATTAACATGGCAAGACAAATACTTTCTTTATTAATAAGGGGCCTCACCTTGGTGCTGGGGTGAGGGTACTTACTGGGCTCTGTCTCTGTCTCTTTCTGTCTCTGTCTCTCTGTCTCTCTCACACACATACACAAACAAACACACAAATACACACTTGGTCATCAGTGGGAGGGAGATAGTGCAAGTGGTTGAGCACATGGCCAAATCATTGTTGGCACACCTGCAATGTAAAAATTCCATTAGCTGGAGGGGAGCCTGGTTGCAGAACAGCACAATGTCAATGTAGAAAGCTCTGTGTGCAGCGGGGTGGGAGGTGTGTTTTGCCTGCTTCCCAGCCTGCAGTAAAGAGGTGTAACAAGTGGTTTGGGTCTTTCAGTGTACATTGCCTTTTGCTCCTCCTCCTCTTCCTCCTCCTTCTCTTCTCCTCCTCCTCCTCCTCTTTTTCTCCCCCTCCTCCTCCTCCTCTTTTTCTCCTCTTCCTCCTCCTCTTCTTCTCCTCATCCTCTTTTTCTCCTCCTCATTCTTCTCCTTGTCTTCCTCCTCCTTCCCTTTCTCCTCCTTCTCCTCCTCCTCCTCCTCCTCCTCCTTTCCTCTTCTTCTCTTCCTCCTCCTCTTCCTCTTTTTCTCCTCCTCATTCTCGTGTCCTCCTCCTCTTCCTCCTCCCTCTTCCCTTTCTCCTCCTCCTCTTCCTCCCACCTCCTCCCACTTCTTCCTCCTCCCTCTTTCTCTCTCATAATACAAGAAACTGCAGCCAAAGAAAGAATGCTCTTCTAACCCGTTTTCTGACAAGTCCTGTTGGATGCTTCAGTGGTCTAGTTCTTGACCTCATGGAAAGTAAAGATGCAGCATAACTGTAGGACACAGAAGCAATAGCGAAGGGAGAATGTTTAACCAGCAACAAACATCTTTCGTACCTTTGTTTTTGGCCTGGTAGTTATAAGCCCAAAGTCCTGGAAAGGCCTGCTTAGGCTTCAGGATAGAAATTTTGTGTTTGGCTTACTTTTTTAGTTCAAGGCTAACTTTGGGCCTGCTGTGGGTGCATTTTTAATAGCTTTTTTGATATGCAGAAGGTTCCCAAAAGGAGAAGTACGAATCCCACTTGCTTACTTGTTTCCTGACTGATAGGGGACTTTATAGGTTTTTTTTTTTCTTTTTGGGTTACATCCAGTAATGTGGGGTTACTTCTGGCTCTGCATTCAGGAATTACCCTGGTGGTGCTCGCGGGACCATATGGGATGCTGGGGGTTGAACCCAGGTCGGCCACCTGCAAGGCAAATGCCCTCCCCGCTGTACTATCGCTCCAGCCCCACTTTGTAGTTCTTGAGTCTTATTTGGATGCCACATAAAGGAAAAAGAGTCAGAGGGGGGTGGTGCCCAGACTGGGCCTCTGACAGAGAGACCTGGCTGTAATCTTCTGCAAGACGAGGGTGAAATGCCAAGTGGGAAGTGACCAGCCCTTTCCTCCAATTCTCGGACGGCAGCCTTTGCAATCAACTTGACACTGGAGTATATTCCAGTCTTTTCTTTACTGGAGAAGAAAACAAATTGCTAGATAAGAGTTGGCATAGTTTGTTTTCTCTGTGTGCAAGGGGAGGGAGTGATGGTTATTTTAAATTGCGCATATGGCTAATTTAGTATTAAAAACTGAAGAATTTGGGAGCTAATAATAATCCCTCTCTCTTCATAAACCAGTGCTTGACACAGATGTCTGCCAGTGCCCTGACCCACAATCTGTTTCATTTTGTCTTTTGCTGTTGTTTCTTTGGTAGGGGGTGTTGTTTTGGTTTTGGGGGGACCACACCCTACAGTGCTCAGGCTTACTCCTGGCTCTGCACTCAGGAATTAGTCCTGGTAGGCTAGAGGACCACATGGAATCTCTGGGATTGAACCCCACTTGGTCACATGGAAGGCAAGTACCCTACCCACTATGCTATCTCTTTGGCCCCTAGTCCAGGACAGTTTTTATTTTTTCTCTTTTGGTCACAACCGGCGATGCACAGGGATTACTCCTGGCTCGCTCTGCACTCAGGAATTATTCCTGGCAGTGCTCAGGGGACCATATGGGATGCTGGGAATCGAACCTGGGTCAGTGGTGTGCAAGGCATAGGCCCTACCCGCTATGCTATCGCACCAGCCCCAAGACCAGGACAGTTTTAAGAGGGGCAGGGGAGCCTTGTGAGGGCCCCTGGAGAAATGGTTTCATTCATTCATTCATGCTCTCATTCATTCCCCACTGGCTGTTTCTCCAGGTTCGCTCATTCATTCATGCTCTCATTCATTCCCCACTGGCTGTTTCTCCAGGTTCGCTTTCTGTGACAGGCAAACAGTCTTGTCTTTTCTCTTGAAGGCAATTTTGCCCGAGGACTGAATGGAGATAAAGGCGGGGAAAGGTCGTATCCAATTTAAGTGAGCTCAGTGATGCGGAAAGGGAAAGCTAACTAGAGACGAGAAACTGGTCTCAGACTTTCTCTGTGTCTCATGATCTCAGTGGTGGTAGAACTGAGTTTTTTAAAACATGGATTTCTGTCCTGCAGCGCGCTGGGCCCTCTGCTGGGTGCTAAGGATAGAAAAATTACTAAGACTGGCAGTTCTTGCAGAGCTTGGGCTAGCAGATGCTATAAAGGAAATAAAGCAGTAAATGCTGACTCCCTGCCATCTCTCCCTGAACTCACTGATAAGGGAGCAATAAAAGCTGTCCCTTGACCCCTGGTGGAAATGCAGAGAATCTTACAGTGTAAGGTAATACCATAATGCTGAGCCTGACCTGAGCAGAGTGGGTACTTAGCAGATTTCAATGTCAAGTTGAAATGAAACGGGATAAAAAGGAGTACTTAGAATTGACAGGTTGAGAAATGGAAGTAAATCAAGCTTAAGGATGGACCAAGTGTCACGATTATGAGAGTATCAAAACCAGAATAGTTTTGCCGGCAGGAGAAGGCTGAAAGGGCCAAGATGGGTGAAATTTGGGCTGACGTTGTAGCCCTGACCCTGGCCCTGGCCCTTGTACACTCGGCTAATGGCTGTTTGACTCCAAGGGCCCCATTTATGCCATTACAAAAACATAGAGGTTCATAAAAGAATGGCTTCATTTTTTTTCTTCTTTTTTTTTTTCTTTTAGGGTCACACCCAGAGATGCTCAGGGGTTACTCCTGGCTCTGCACTCAGAAATCACTCCTGGCGGTGCTCAGGGGACCATATGGGATGTCAGGGATTGAACCTGGCTACGTGCAAGGCCAATGCCCTCCCCGCTATTACTCTGGCCCCAATGGCTGCATTTTCTGTTTGGTCAGCCTACAGCGTGTACATCATTGGGGTCACTTGAACCAGAGCCTGGGCTCACACAGACCAGAGCCCAGCTACCTGCTTTTTCCAGGGCAGAGGCTGGAAACCACAGCTCAAGGCTATCAGACCCACCAGGGCCCATCCTTGTGTGATTCTTCTGACTTGAACTTCCCGGAGAACCCTGGGGAACTGTTAACAGTAGGAGCTGACTGTTCCAGTCTCTTCAGAGACTGAGCAAACCTTTGAACTCTTGGTGGATGGAGTAGTTCTCTCTTCTACATAACCTACCTCATAAAAAGTCTGGACAAATCTATAGTAAGACTTTCACTCATGCTTATTATATATATATATTTTTTAATTTTCTTTATTTTTTAAATTTTTAATAGATGAGGCTGGAGAGATAACACAGCAGGTCGGGTGTTTGCCTTGCATGCGGCCAACTTGGGTTCGATTCCCAGCATCCCATATGGTCCCCTGAGCACCGCCAGGTGTAACTCCTGAGTGCAGAGCCAGGAGTAACTCCTGTCCATCGTCGGGTGTGACCCAAAAAGCAAATAATAATAATAATAATAATAATAATGATAAATTTTTTAATAGAACCATATGAAGAATCTTTGGCTACTTGTATGTAAACTCAACTCTTTAACTTTTGTAAGTGCAATAAGACAGAAATCGGGGGAATGATTTTCTGTCTTTTTTTTTTTATAAGCTTGTGTCTTAGATTTTTCTTGGGAACAAAACAAGTGCTTACTGCTCACAAAGATTCTGTCTTGTCCAATCCTGGGTTCTCTCCCCAATGCCCTCATTTGGACTAGGCTGCCATACAGTCAGACAAAAGTGCCAGGACACTTCTTGCATCTGTAGTGGAAACCTTGGCAGTAGATATGATCACATTTAAATGGAAATTGCCACTGCCTGCTGGTGTGACCCAAAAAACAAACGAAATGAAAGGGTTTTTTTTTGTGTGCTTTTTCTTGGTGGTGGGAGTGTGTGGGGAGCAGGGGGGTTGAGGCACATTTAGGATGCTCAGGGGCTAGGACTCTAGGTAAGTTGCTCGGGGGTCTGAGGTGCTCCCTGCAGTGCAGCGCAGGACTTCTGGGTGCAAAGCATTTGGAAAATTGTAACTTCGTTTTGCCCCATCTGGTGTTGCCGCTTCACAATCCAAATGTGATTTGGGATAGTAAGAAGTTATATTTAAATATCCTTTATGATAAAATTACAGAATGGCATCACCAGTCAGCACATGGAAAGATACTCAAAACCTTTTAGCCATAAGAGAAATCCAATTTCAAACCCCAGCTAGGCACCGCTTTATGCCCACTGGGATGGTTATAATAAAAAGCCAGAAAATAACAGATATGTTGTTAAGAATGGGGAGAAATTGGAACCGTCACTCACTGTGGTTGGGAATGTAAAATAATGCAACTGTGGGAATTGTTGGCAGAGTCTCCTTCAAGGTATCAGAATTCTGATATGATATAGTATTTATGTGCTCAGTTATATGTCCAGGAGCTTCAAAATCATGCTCCCACAAAACATCATTATTCATAATAGCCCAGATGTGGAAATGGTCCATGAGTCCTTCTGCTGATGAATAGCATCAACATTTTATGTTCATGCCATGGAGTATCGAAAAGGAAAAAAAAATCAGATTCTGACACTACAAGGGAGATGAGGGAAATGAAAGGTATCTATTCCAAGGCCACATGCTTTATGACCTTGTGTAAGATATCCAGGCAAAGCAGTTCCAGAAATAGAAAATAGACCAGGAGTTACCAGAGGGTGGAGGAGCAGGAGAGTTAAAGAATGGTAGCTAAAGGGGGAAGAATTTCTTTTAGGGTGATGCAAATGCTCTAAAAATCAGGGTTTGGGGGCCAGAGCGATAGTACAGTGGGTAGGGCATTTGCCTTGCACACGGCCAAACCTGGTTCGATTCCCAGCATCCCATATGGTACCTTGAGCACTGCCAGGAGTAATTCCTGAGTGCAGAGCCAGGAGTAACCCCTGAGCATCGCCTGGGTGTGACCCAAAAAGATAAAATAAAATTCATGGTTTGGGGGAAGATGTCACAACTCTGAATACACTCCGAGCAAGATCCTGGCTCCCTTGAAATTGGCGTGTTCTGTGTGAATCAGCTCTCAGCACAGCTGTCGTGGAAGCAGGCTTTGCCGCCAGCATGCCTGGTGTCTTGTAGGGTGCTGAGTTACTTCCGTGTAGCGTCAGACTCTGTTTTGAACCTTTTTTGTCCTTCCCATTCTAGATCTAAGCCTCTCCACCGGGTGCCCGCAGCTGGAGCGCAAAAACAGAGACTTCACCTCTTCCGGGAACAGAAAACTCTACTTTGACACCCACGCCTTAGTGTGTGTGCTGGAGGAAAATGGTAATCCACACCCTGGCCACCTGGTGCTTTATACGAGGACTGTGACCCCGGCAATGCATAGGGGTTACTCCTGGCTCTGCACTCAGGAATTATTCCTGTTGGTGCTTAGGAGACCATAATGGGATACTGGGAATTGAACCTGGGTCGGCCTCATGCAAGGCAAACGCCCTACCCACTGTGCTAATCGCTCTAGCCCCAGACTGTAACGACTCTTAGTTGTCCTGTCATTTCTCCTTTCTCTGACTTAGAAGTTTGCGGGTAATCTCTTGGGCCAGCTTGTTTTCATGTCTTCCTTTTGTGTTTAGGACTTTTTGATTTCTCCCATACAATTGAGGAATCTCTCACACGTTTTCATCTCTTTTTTTTTTTTTTGTTTCGTTTTTCCAACGAAAGTATATTTTTTCTGACATCCCCCTGGAAAGCATAGTGTTATTTAAAAAAAAAAATGTAGCTACTACTAAACCAGACTAGGAATGATTCCTATGCCAACTCTCTGATACAGAAAAATGATAGTTCTTTCCTGTGCATCTTGTGTGTTGTGTGTTTGGGGTTTTCTTTTTTTCTTTCTTTCTCTTTTATTTTTTTAAGGATTATTTATTGATTGATTTTGCAGCATTCGGGACTTATTCCTGGCTGTGTGCTCAGGGATCACTCCTGGCAGGCTCAGGGGACCATAGGGGGTGCTTGGGGATCAAACATGTGTTGGCCACAGGCAAGGCAAACAACTTACCCTCTGGTTATCTCTCCAACCCCTGTATGTTTTTTGGCCACACCCAGCAGTGCTCAGGGCTAACTCCTAGCTCTGTGCTCAGGGGTGACTCCACACGAATTCAGGAGACCATGTGGGGTGTCAGATTGAACCCGCATCTTGTGTGTTTTTATTTTATTTTATTTATTTATTTATTGCTTTTTGGGTCCCACCCAGCGATGCTCAGGGGTTATTCCTGGCTTTGTACTCAGGAATTAACTGCTGGTGGTGCTTAGGGAACCATATGGGATGGCCGCGTGCTAGGCAAATGCCCTACCCGTTGTGCTATCATCCAGCCCCTTATGTGTTTTTAAAATAATGTAATTAAAGGGGAAACTGCTGAAGAGACATCCCCATAAATGTGGGAGCCTCCTGCCTTTCCCTCTCTCCTTTTATCCTTTTAAATCCATTCTCTTCTGGATCTGACCACTAAAAATATTTTAATAATAAAACAAAATCATGAAATTAAAATAGCTGAGCAGTAGGGCCAGGGGGTAACTCGAGGATTAAGGCACAGGCCTTGTATGCACCCAACTCCATTGGATCCCCACATGGTCCCCCAGGCATCAGTGGGTGCAGCCTTGGGGGGCTTGAGTACAGTAGCGTGTGGCCCCTGGTGGCCCTGAAGTATCCCTAGGTGACCCCGGTATCACTGCAGAACCAGGGCCTGGTTGGCTGAGAATGGCTGGGAGGAACCCCCCCCAGCTGCACCTCAAAATAGTTGAGCAGCAGTTATTGATAGTAGTTTCAACTTTGCTCTCTTTAAAAAAAAAAAACTTTTTGTGATTTTTTTTTTTTTTTGGCCACATCTGGTGATGCTCAGGGGTTACTCCTGGCTCTGCGCTCAGGGATTACTCCTGGCAATGCTTGGGGGACAATATGGGATGCCGGCAATCGAACCTGGGTTGGCTGCATGCAAGAAAAATACCCTACCCACTACGCTATCGCTCTGGCACCTAAGGAAAAAAAAAAAAAAAACTTCTCTATTGAATCACAGTGAGATATACAGTTACAAGTGTTCATGATTGGGTTTCAGTCATATAATGTTCCAACACTCATCCTTCACCAGTGCACAATTCCCATCACTGATGTCCCTGGTTTCCCTCCCACCCTTCCTCTGGGCCTGCCTCTGTGGCAGGCACTTTTCTTCTCTTTTTCCTTAGTATTTAGACTCATGCTTTGCTTTGCGGACATTGAATTGATGAACATAAAAGATTGTTCTGACATATGATGTTTAGTGAATGTGTACTTCATGTAACATTTACTGAAAATGTACTTCATATATATATAGAGATGACATTTTGATACTTAATTGTTTGGGAGGAGGAGTTGTTTTATTTCTGTATCAGTATAAATTCTATGTGTTTTGGGCTTTCTCCTGTCTCAGGGGTCACTCTTGGCAATGCTCAGTGAACATATGTGATGCCTGGAATCAAACCAGGATAGGCTGCATGCAAGGCAAGTGCCATAGCTACTCTGGTGTGATCTGTCTGGTCCTAATACTTCATCTTTTTTCTTTTCTTTTTTTTTTTTTTTTTTTGCTTTTTGGGTCACATCTGACGATGCACAGGGGTTACTCCCGTTACTCCTGGCTCTGTACTCAGGAATTACACTGGCAGTACTCAGGGGACCATATGGAATGCTGGGAATCGAACCCAGGTCGGCCGCACGCAAGACTAATTTAATCTTATCTGGACAAAATCCCTAGTGGTAGTTCTCTAAACTGAGACACACATATGCTCCAAATCCGAATCTCAAATTAGTGTGGGTTCTGTCTTTGAAAAAAAAATACATGTGCTTTTTCTTCAAGTACTTTCTCTGGTTGGACCTGCCCCTTTCCGAAGAGCCAGCTTCTTTCCTTGTCAGGACAAAGAGGAAGGTCTAGGCTTGGAGAAGGTGTCGGGAAATCAGGCTGCCGGGGGGGCCAGTCCCCCCTGTAGAAGCCCAAGGAGCTCAGTGTCCCTCTTCTCACCTCCAGCACGGGCAGCAACAAAAGACCCTTTGAGACTTAAGTGCAATAATTTACTTGAACTCTGTAGCACTGTAGCACTGTCCTCCCGTTGTTCATCAATTTGCTCCAGTGGGCACCAGTAATGTCTCCATTGTGAGACTTGTTGTTACTGTTTTTGGCATATCGAGTACACCACGGGGAGCTTGCCAGGCTCTGCCGTGCAGGCAGGATACTCTTGGTAGCTTGCTGGACTCTCCGAGAGGGACAGAGGAATTGAACCCGGGTCATCTGCATACAAGGCAAACGCCCTACCTGCTGTGCTATTGCTCCAGCCACTTGAATTCACTTTGTTAAAAAAAAAAAATGTGAAATGCTGTTATCATTCTGTGTCATCCCGCTTATGACTTTTCCTTCTCAAACTTGAAACAGTAGGTCTTTACAGCTACACTGCTCCCAGCTCAGATTTTCAAGAAGAGAACTGGAATTTAGATGAGAGAATCTAAAATTAGCTCATTAAGCAGGAGCCTTCCTGATTGCCTCTCTCTCTTTCTTCTTTTTGTGGATTTCATGTTCATGTATTCAAAGAAACTATTTGTACAAAGATATTAAGACCCTGGGGCATGTGTGCAGATAGACTAGGGTTAGATGATATCAATCACTGTAGCACTTTCCTCCCGTTGTTCATCGGTTTGCTTGGGCCCAGGAAACAGCTTAATTTTGTTGAGTGTGAGCGATTGGGGAACTAGAGGATTCAGAATGGTTCCACATTTTTCCTGCCTTTGAGAGATTTATTTCCCTTCCCCATTGATAACAATGTATTTTGTTTTGTTTTGTTTTGTTCTGTTTTTTGCTTTTTGGGTCACACCTAGCGATGCTCAGGGGTTTCTCCTGGCTCTGCACTTAGGAATTCCTCCTGGTGGTGCTCAGGGGACCATATGAGATGCTGGGGATCGAACCTGGGTCGGCTGCGTACAAGGCAAACACCCTACCTCCTGTACTATTGCTCTGGCCCCAACAATGTTTATTTTATTTTATTTTACTTTATTTATTTTTAAAATAAGGACTACATAGATTTTTCTATCACTGTCACTGTCCTCCTGTTGTTCATCGATTTGCTCGAGCGGGCCCAGTAATGTCTCCATCCTGAGACTTGTTGTTACTGTGTTTGGCATCACGGGTAGCTTGCCAGGCTTTGCCGTGCGGGCGAGATACTTTCGGTAGCTTGCCGGGCTCTTCGAGAGGGGTGGAGGGATATAATCTAGAATTGTTCTAGGATGTCCATGTGGTTTTTCTTGATTTTGATCCTTGATTTTGTTTTTGTGCCACTGCTATGTGAATCCCACTGATGTGGAGGGTCTGACAGTGCCCACCAGCCTGGCATGGTGATGAGTGATGGCATTGGAGGTAAGGGATTAGGATCAGGCCAGGGAGGACTTTAGGGACCATTTTATCCCTTGTTCTCTCCAGAGCAATGACTTTTTAAAAAATTTTTAATTTTTTTTTAAAAATAATTATATATATATGTGTATATACATATATATAATCACTCACAGTAATTTATTACACTCATAAAGTACCGGCAGAGGAACAAAGGCATGCGGGTCCCAGGGCTGAGATCTCTAAGCCTGCTCGGATCAGGGCTGAGCATCCTCCACCCAGATCCTCCAAATTCCAGTAGGCAGGGGTCACACCCACCAACTGGCCCCCTGGCACCGTGTAATCCCATCAACAGCCAAGACTCAGAGACTATAAAACCCAGTTCCCGGACATCCTATTATCTCATTCCTACTTTGGACAAACTGGCAGCTACCGAATGTAACCTGCCCACACGGCAGAGTCTGGCAAACCCCCCGTGGTGTACCCAATTACCAAATACCAGTAACAATGATGGGTCTCATTCTCCTAACCCTGAAAGGGCCTTGAATATGGCACTTTTTAAAAAATCTCGGCTAGGATGAAGGAGACGTTACTGGGGCCTGCTCGAGGCAATCGACGAACAACAGGATAGTCGTGATCGTGATATATATAAAGTCATTCACAGTAATTTATTACACGCAGTATTCTAGCACTAATCCCACCACCATTACACCTTCGAACAACCATTATTTTGAATTTTCCTAGACTCCAGAGCAATGATTCTTGATCAGGAACACTTCCCATGTGTGTAAAATCTCACTAACTCTGGTTGTTTCTCTTCCCCTTCTTGCAGAAAACTCATTTGTATCTGGTATCTTGGGTTTTGAAACGTAACTTCTGCTTTTTTGTATCTACTTCATCTCTAAGCTGTTACAAAATTGCAAATGCTGACTTTAAAAAACAATTAAGACTAGAAACAAAAAATATATTTCTGGATCCCAGCAAGCTACAGGCAACCAATATTAACATTTTGGTGCATAGACCCTGGGGTGTTTTTTTTTTCTAGAGGTGAATAACCCCCTCATAACTGAAGGATTTGGGGGCTCAGGAGATAGCTTAAGAAACTGGGGTATCCAGTGTGCATGTAGAAGCCTGCATTTCTGCATTTAATCTTCAAAGATGCGAGGTCCATGCACCTCCAGGTATGGTCCAAAACCAATGAAACAAACAAACAAACAACCAAAATAAAAGGATCTTTGAATAAAGTGACCAAAGTAGGTCACTGGAAGTTTTGCCTCTGTTAAAATTTTCTTTAAAATTTTAATTGTAAATAAAATTTTAATTGTAGCCCCATGTTAAATCCCACTAAAATTGTACCAGTTCCAACTTTTTTCAAGCAAATGGGTCTTTACTTATAAGGACCAACATATTCTTTTTCAGTTCTTATGGGTAACAGTATTAGCCCAGCGGTAGGGCATTTGCCTTGCACTTGGCTGTCCCGGGTCCGATTCCTCCATCCCTCTCAGAGAGCCCGGCAAGCTACCGAGAGTATCCCACCCACACGGCAGAGCCTGGCAAACTCCCTGTGATGTATTTGGTATGCCAAAAACAGTAACAACAAGTCTTACAATGGAGACATTACTGGTGCCCACTGGAACAAATCGATGAACAACGGGAGGACAGTGCGACAGTGCATTGAATAATACTTATTTTTTTATTTCTAGAGGCTTACTTTCAAACATATTATTAGAATTTCCAAGGTAATATGTTGCTATCTAAAGTTACTAAGAATATTAATTGAGTATCAGTATTTTTCCCCTTTGGAGCCTTTCCCCTGATGACTAAAGAAAATAGTAGGGAGGAAATGAAGAATCGATTTGTCTTCTAGCATTAAATTAACCACTGAATTCCCGTTTACATAGTTAATGATTTAGCTGAGTTGTGCAAGGTAGAAGTAATTGAGCTTTCCCACTGAAATAAATTAGTTTTTAACTGCATTTTAAAGTTAAGGAAGTCACATCCATTGTAGAAAATTGAAACAGCACAGAAAATGATAAAAATCACCTAAACTCTGTTAAAATCATGAGAGCAATCATTGTATCACTGTATCACTGTCATCCCTTGTTCATGGACTTACTGGAGTGGGCACCAGTAACGTCTCCATTCATCCCAGCCCTGAAATTTTAGCAACCTCTCCTTACTCGTCTTTCCCAATGATTGGAGGGTCTTCCAGAGTCAGGAAAATGAGACCCGTTGTTGTTACTGTTTTTGGCATATTGAATATTCCACGGGGAGCTTGCCAGGCTCTGTCGTGTGGGCGTGATACTCTCGGTAGCTTGCTGGGCTCTCCAATATGTATATGATTTGTTGCCTACTGTCTGAACCCCATCAAATATGGTGTGATAATTATGGAAAATGGGTAGGGAATGTCTTATGATGTGTCCAGGAATATGTTCACTCATATATGAACCTTGGTCTAAGCATGTGGAAAGCGGTCTGGAGTGTTGGGTAGTGGAGGTCGGCTGTCAGGGCTGGGTCCCTTGGGGCGGGGAAGGCTCTCACCCACCCCCCACTGGGGCACCCCGAGTGAAAACAGCCTGGTGCGGAGTGTGGTGGCATGGTTATGGGGGCCTCATTTTATGCTCCCTTCTGGGAGAAGCAGCCGTGAGTTCTGGAGGGTGGCAATATGACAGGTAAATTTTGATCTGGCTTTTTTTTCACTGCACTTGTGCCAGACAGGGAGACCAATGAGACACCTTTGACCAGCATGACAGACACCAGTTGCTGTTGACAGACGCCGTTTCCTGTGCTTTAGGCCCCTCACTACTTTTTCCACCGGCTCCTGAATTCAGACATTTTCCTGAATATTTACATTTGCAAGTTTTCTCTTCCAATCAAGAAGGTGTTTTTTTTTTTTCTGATTTTTGGGTCACACCCAGCAATGCTCAGGGGTTACTCCTGGCTCTGCATTCAGGAATTATTCCTGGCAGTGTTTGGGGGACCATAGGGGATGCTGGGAATCGAACCCAGGTCGGCCATGTGCAAGGCAAATGCCCTAGCCGCAGTGCTATTGCTTCAGCCCCTCGAGAAGGTCTCTTTCAACCACCACAGGCAATTCTCCTGATTCTGATGGTCTCTTGTATTTTTTAGGGTTTACTACTCAACAAGCAGAAATCATTGTATCGGCATTGGTCAAGATCCTGGACACCAACCTGGATATTGTCTACAAGGACATGGTCACTAAGATGCAGCAGGTAGCTGAGTTGGGTGCTTTCTAAACTCTGAAGGTGGAAGATACATTACTGGAGAGATGCATTTTTCGAGTATATACTGTTGAAGAGCATGCTGTCATTTGAACCATAGTTGAGAGGAGTAGTCAACTATGTGTGTCAGGATAAAAATAAGGTGTTTAGGGCCAGAGCAATAGTACAGTGGGTAGGGCATTTGCCTTGCACACAGCTGGCCCAGGTTCGATTCCTGGCATCCTATATGGTCCCCTGCGCATCGCCAGGAGTAATTCCTGAGTGCAGAGCTTGGAGGAACCCCTGAGCATTGCTGGGTATGACTCAAAAGGCCAAAATAAATAAATAAATAAAGATGCTTATTCAAAGCTTTAAAAAGGGTGTTTATTCATCACAGGAAAGTACCAGAACCGTGGCCGTGGGCTCAGGTGCACAGACTGTTATCCTGGGCTGATGCACATCATCAGAAAGTGTTTTCCTTCTTCCCTTTTTCTCGCTTTGGAATCCCCGGCCAGTGTGCTGCTCACTCCTGCCCACCTTCTTCTCGTTTCTCAGTCAGGTCACCCCAGGCAGAGGGGCACGGATGGAGGAGGTACATGGTGGGAGGGGGCTGTTGAAACCTGACAAGGTTGGACGTTTTGTGTTTTTGTTCCTAGGAGATCACTCTTCAGCAAATCATGTCTCAGATCTCTAACGTGAAAAAGGATATGATTATTTTGGAGAAGAGTGAATTTTCAGCCCTCCGAGCAGAAAACGAGGTAAAGCTATGCAGAGCTGATGACACTTATGACACTTATGACACATCTCTTGTTAAGACCTTGAGCTCCAGATATTCAGAAGGGTGCAATGTACCCGGCACCACACAAGTCAGAATAGTTGTCAAGTTATTACTCAGTCAGCACCACCCACCCATCAGGAAGCAAGGGTTCCAGCTCCCCCTGTCTCCTCAACGCCACCCCTCTACCCCCCCCCCAAGAACTTAATACTAGATTAATTCAACTCTAATAAGGATTGCTCTTGAAGTTCTTCTGATGAAATTGGAGTATGTCTTGCAACCATAAATCATTCTTTTTTATTTTTCAATTTTTTTAATGAATCACCATGAGACACAGTTACAGATTTACAAACTTTCGTGATTAAGTTTCAGTCATACAATGATGGAGTACCCATCCCTCCACCAGTGCCCATTCTCTACCACCAATGTTCCCAAGTATCCCTCCCTCCACCCCCCACACCACACCCCATCCCCACTTCTGTGGCAGGCACATTCCCTTTCACTCTCTGTCTCCTTTTGGGTGTTAAATCATTCTTTTTTAATTGTCTCTGGTATTAAGTAAAGGGGTCACATTGTTTTGCTGTTACATTGTTTTTTTTTAGCATTTTCTTGTTATTAATGCATAAATTCTGCTATTCTGCTTTAGTTTTTTTTTTTGTTTGTTTTTTGTTTTTGGGTGTGTGGAGAGAAAGAGAATTTTTTTGGTTTTGTTTTTTTGTTCATTTTTTTGTTTGTTTGTTTTGCTTTTTGGGTCACACCGGGCAATGCACATGGGTTACTCCTGGCTCTGTGCTCAGGACTTACCCCTGGCAGTGCTCAGGGTACCATATGGGATGCTGGGAATCGAACCCGGGTTGGCCGCATGCAAGGCAAACGCTTTACCTGCTGTACTATTGCTCCAGCCCCCAAGAGAAGAAGTGTTTTGAGGCCATGCCCAGTAGAGCTCAGGGGCTACTCTTGGTTCTGAGCTCAGGGGTCACGCCTATCAGTGCTCTGAGGAACGTGTGATGCTGTGAAGCCTGGGTCCCAGATTTGCAAGGCTTGCCTTGTCATAGCTCCTGTACACCCTCCCCAGCCTGAATTTCTTAAAGGTGGGCACAGCGGCTCGGGTGTTTGCCTTGTACGTGGTCTACCCGGGTTCGATTCCTCTGCCCCTCTCGGAAAGCCCGGCAAGCTACCAAGAATATCTTGCCTGCAAGGCAGAGCCTGGCAAGCTCCCCGTGGCATATTTGAGATGCCAAAAACAGTAACAAGTCTCGCAATGGAGACATTACTGGTGCCCGAGTAAATCGATGTACAACGAGACGACAGTGCTACGGTGCTACAGTCCTATGGGATTAACATCTAAGTTCCCTGTGTCTTTATTCCTTTGCAGTTCTAGTTAATGTCCGTAAGGAAGTCCATTTATTCCCTGGCGATCTTAGTAGCCCAGTAATGAACTTTGGAGCAGAAGATTTGCTAGAAAAGGGTTAAAGTTTGAACTTTCAAAGTTGTCCTTGAAGTCAAGGTGCTTTGAGGGCAGAATTAGTTCAAAGTCAAATTGAAGGAGGTACTCAGGGAAACTTGGTCCCCAAAGGAAGTTGTGTATCCTAATAATAGTTGTGTTTGGGCCAAAGAAACAGTACAGTACCATGGGTAAGGAGGTTGGCTTACACGCAGCCAGTCTGGGTTAGATCACTGGCGTGGAACTACAATATGGTTCCCCGACCCTGCCAGGAGTGATCCCTGAGCACAGAGCCAGGATAAGGCAGGAGCACCAAAATCAAAACCAAGCTCCAGAACTGTGTTACTTATTTTATACAACCTTTAAGATGTGTAGGTACAGTATGAAGGTACATACTTAATGATAGGACTGATTTGGTGTGACAAATTCAGCTTTTCTGCTACTGAGATGATTCAACCCATGTTGTATTCTGGGTACAGCCAAGCGGGTGTGGAAGGAAGCAAGAACTTACGCATAAATACATGTTTTAATAATCATTTATTACCAAGTTTTTTGTTTGTCTTCCATCCTTCTAACTATATCCTCTTGCTTCTTTCTGTGTTTTTTTTTTTAGAAAATGAAACTGGAGCTACATCAGTTAAGACAACAAGTCATGGTGAGACCTTCCCCTGCCCACACGTGTGCTGCTTGTATGTAATCACCTAAGCTTTATATGTTCCTAAACATGTGACTATATTAGATATACAAATCTAATTGATCTGTCTCAAAAGCACATCAGATTTAACTAATATTTCAGCCAAGGCATAATTTACTGATGCCAATCGCCAAGCTCTGTAAGAAAATTATGTTCTTAGAAGAATTAAGTCATCTTTCAATTAAAATTTCCTAAAGCAGCCTTGTGGAACCCTTAGATTCTCATTGAAGCAGCTCTCTTAAGATTATTACATGAGATTTTAAAATACTTGCCGGTCCTGTTGTTTAATTATTATTTTTTTGAAGTGGAAAAGATATTGGTATTAAAGAAAAAAAAGGTCTTGTGTAAGAATCAGGTGAGGCTTTATTTAATCCAGAATTGATTAACATTTTGGGCTCCATTTTGCTTTCCAGAGTTGCCCATGGAACAACATTATTAATAAATTCCACAAGGAGATGATACTGAAAATCTTTTTTTGGGGGGGGGGCTTTTTGAGTCACACCGGAGATACCCAGGGGTTCCTCCTGGCTTTGCACTCGGGAATTACTCCTGGCGGTGCTCAGGGGACCATAAGGGATGCTGGGAATCGAACCCGGGTCGGCCTTGTGCAAAGCAAATGCCCTACCTGTTGTACTATAGCTCCACCCCCAATACTGAAAATCTTGAGATTGAATGCAACAGTCACCCAGTTTAGAATGAATTCACCTTCAACAGGTTTATTCCCAGCTGGAAGTCCCAAGGCTGGATCAATTCCACGTGTCCCCTGGCAACCCAAGCTCCAGCTCTGTTTCTCTGCCAGCTCCTGGCCCTACCCTCGACCTTGTCTGCCCCACTAGATAGAAAGAGGGAAAGCAAACCCCAGACTTGGGTTCTCTGTGACTTGGTTTCTTATCTTGTGATTTCCTTCCCTTGTTTTTTTGCCCTCCTACTAGGATGAAGTGATCAAAGTCCGGACAGATACCAAATTAGACTTCAATCTAGAAAAGAGCAGAGTCAAAGAATTGGTATGTTCCTTTATGTAAAAGAGAATGTGAATTCATTTCTGTGGACAGTGGGTGCTTGGTTTTTTACTGTGTGTAAAATACAGTTCACTCGTCTTACTAATATTTACCTGTTCACCAGTATTAGTGTGTCTTCTTTTAAATTCTATTTTGGATTAGGGCTTGAATTTTGATACCTTCAAGAGTAGCATTAAAATGAAAATCCTGATCATATCACGTTGGAATGTTTTAGATTTAAAGACACTAAATTATGTGTCACTGAGACATCAATAAGGAAACTCAGTTTTCGTCTATATTGTTGATTTAAAATAACAAGCATTTAAATTGAAAATCCTGATCATATCATGTTGGACTGTTTTTGATTTATAGACACTAAATTATGTGTCACTGAGACACTGATAAAGAAAGTCACTTTTGATCTATATTGTTGATTTAAACTCCCCAAAGTCCTGATTTTACCAACACAAAGTTGGTTATCTCGAATAATATTAAGTTAGTCATATTGGATTCTACATTGAAATTCAAATTTTAAAAAAAATTCCTTCTTGCTTTGAAATGCAAATTTGAAATGATTCTTTTAAGTATGTTCAATTGAGATGTTCCATTAGAAATAGTGCTGTACATATATTACTGAAAAAAAGAGGTCACAGAATGTAGATAATTAAGCTGAAGAATAAATATGTCTGTGCTTATGCTTAAACAACTTGTGCTATTATGCATTAGACCTGAGAAAACCAGAAATACGATTCTGCTCTTTTTGCTTTGTCAGAGAAATTGCATAGAGATGCAGTTACTTCCTAGACTTGCACGTCCATTTTTATGTTATTTCTAATGTATTTTGTTCCAGTCCAATTGACAGCTAACAGAAGGGTTAGGCATGCCGCATAATGATACAATCTTTGTTTATATTGCAAAATGATTGCCACAGTTAAGTGTCCCTGCATCTGGCTGGCCATGGTTTGGTCCCCAGCACTGCAGATAGACCCCCAGCACCGCCAGGAGTGGCCCCTGAGCACAGAGCTGGCAGAAAGCCCTGAGCACTGCTAAGTGTGGCCCCCAAACCCAGACAAAAGGCAAACAAACCAAAACACCCGCTGATTTCCCATTTAGCTGCAGGTATCTTCCGATTAAATCAAGTGAATCCAGAATTTGCTAAGTACACAACCCCTCAGGATCAAGGTAGTAAAGAGTTTTTTCTAGATGAAAGTCAGTGGCTAATGATAATTAAATATTTCAGTGACACTCGGAAACATCATCTTGATGGCTGAAAAATATTTTAAGACTAGAAAAGAGGTAACATGGGCATACTGATTATACAACAAAGCTCATCTTGGGGCCGGAGTGATAGCACAGCAGGTAGGGCATTTGCCTTATACACAGCCGACCCGGGTTCGATCCCCAGTATCCCATATGGTCCTCTGAGCACTGCCAGGAGTAATTCCTGAGTGCAAAACCAAGAGAAACCCTTGAGCATTGCTGGGTGTGACCCAAAAAGGGGGGAAAAAAAAAGCTCATCTTTACTCTGGAATTCAGAACCAGATAGAGTTAAATATTTGTCTGCTGTTCATTTATCCCTGCAACTTATTTTGGTTAAAGGCACAGGGTGGGGCTGGAGCCATAGCACAGTGGGTAGGGCGTTTGCCTTGCACGCAGCCAACATGGCCGACCCAGGTTCAATTCCCAGCATCCCATATGGTCCCCCCGAGCACTGAGCATCACCAGATGTGACCCAAAAAGAAAAAAAAAAAGGCACAGGGTAAGGGCCCGGAATATGCCTCAGTGGCAAAGAACACAGGGCCTGAGTTTGATCCCTGGCACTGCAAAAAAAAAATTAAGCAGTTCATTGTGAAGAATGAGGAGGTTATGACTCCCCTTAGCGCCTCCCTTTCTTGCATGTGTATCCAGGTCTGTGTCAGTGAAAGAGATCTCCTCTCTCCAATTTCTCATCATGCTAAGAATGAAAAAAAAAAAGCCACTGAGCTAATATCATCAAAATCATATAAGCCCCGAATAAGAAGACAAATGGATCAAATTTCACGGGCATGGCAGGCAACTCAGCACATAAAGAGAACGTGTGGGTTATAGAGTAGAGCATTACCTGACTCCAGACAATGATAGAAACAGCCTTTTGTCACAACTGGAAGGAATCCCAAGAGCATTCTACTGAGCTAAATAGGCCAGAGAAAGGCATGTACCATATAAGCGCACTGGCGTGTGGAATTCAGAAAGCAACCCAGATGTTCCTGAGCTTGGGTCCTCACTGCTGTAACAGCAGTGAGGGAAGATGCTGAACCCACAACCCTATTGGCTGTGGTTTGAGACCCGGAGCACCCCAACTTCCTGCGCAAAATAAAATCACCTAATTTTGAGCACACCCCTCTCGGAGAGCCCGGTAAGTTACCGCGAGAGTATCGCGCCCACAGGTAAAGCCTGGCAAGCTACCCGTGATGTATTTGATATGCCAAACACAGTAACAACAAAGTCTCCAATGGAGACATTACTGGGCCCGCTCGAGCAAATCGATGAACAATGGGAGGACAGTGACAGTGACAGTGACAGTGACAATTTTGAGCACAGACTGATGGTTTCCAGAGAACTGGGAACTGATGCTGGGAGGATGGTAAAATGGAAGAAGAGATTGAAAAGGTAGAAACTGGGTCGGAGCAATGGTCCAGTGGGTAGAGCATTTGCCTTGCATGCAGCCACCCCGGGTTCAATCCCCAGCATCCCATATGGTCCCTCAAGCACCACCAGGAGTAATACCTGAGTGCAGAGCCAGGAGTAAGTCCTGAGCATAGTCGGGTGTGACCCAAAAGGCTGAAAATTAAAAAAGCAACCAGACTTCCAGTTATGAGAATATAATTCATGGGGGTGGAATGAACGGCGTGGTGGCTAGAGTTATTACCATAGGAACTCTGAGAAAAGTGGCAAAGAGAGTAGGTCTTCAAGTGCTTATTGCAAGGGCCACAGAGATAATTCCAATGCAGAGCACCCACCTAGCACAGGTGAGGCCCCAAGTTTGCCAGCACCGACCCCCAGTCAACTGGAACTGTCAACCACCCAGGTGACATTTCCTAGTGTCACTGAAATATTTAATTACCATTAGCCTCTGACTCTCACCTAGGAAAAACTCTTCATTACCTTGATCCTTATGCAAAAATTCTGGATTCAGTTGATTTAGGAAGAAGCTTGTAGCTAAACTGGTAATCAGTGGTTGTTTTTGGTTTGCTTTTCTCTTTTGGTTTGGGGGCCACACCTTGCAGTGCTCGGGGCTTTCTGCTGGCTCTGTGCTCAGGGATCATGCCTGGCTGTACTGGGGGGCATTTGCAGTGGTGGGGATGGAAGCAGGACCAGGCAGGTCCAAGGCAAGCTCCTTACCTGTTGCATAATCTCTCTGGCCCCAAAGCCAGTGGTTTTTAAGTGAGTCACTCACCTCGATGAGAAGTTATTGGTAATCCTAACTTGGATGACTCTGACTTTCAAGGTAGGGTATCATTCTGCAGCTAGAGCCTATTGGGACACGCACTGGTGAAGATGAATTCCTTGACCCTCTCATTCTCCTTGGTTATCATTCAATGAAAAAACTGGTGATGGGCCAGGGCACTAACTAGTTCAGTAGGTAAGCCGCTTGCCTTGCACGCAGCCCAACTGGGGTTTGATCCCTGACATCCCATATGGTCCCCCCCCCCCCGCCCCCCCAACACCAGTAGGAGTAATTCCTGAGTGCAGAGCCAGGAGTAACCCCTGAGCATCGCTGGGTGTGACCCAAAAAGCCAAGAAAAAAATAAATAGAAATTTTTAAAAAATACAATAACTGGTGCCACAGCCCATTTCAGAAGCAGGGAAGCCTGCTAAACTGCACTGGAGAGATGGAATCTCATTTTTTTTTTTTAAATCTGTCTAGTTTGAGACTAAAGCCTGGAGGTCTCCTTTGTTTAGGGCGCACAGAAAACCTGGTGCCACCCGCCCTCTGGTGGCGACCCGATGCATAGCACCCTCCTCATCAGAAACCTTCCCCGAAGCCGTGGGGGCTGCTTGAACTTCTTAGCAGTGCTGTTTCTATATTTTTCATCCTTGCTAATCCCAGGAGGACATTCCCTACCTAGAAAGCTCTCAGATATTTCCAAAAGCAGTTTTTCTCTATATACAGCGGTAATTTAGTGGATAACTTATTTCTCTGTTTATATATTTATTGTCCTGCTTTTCTAAGTTATGCCTGGTAGTGCTTAGGGAGTTTCTGGTGGTCACTTAGTACTTGGGATCAAACCCAGAGACCTGTGCCCCTTACTCTGAGCCCCACATGGTGACCAGTTTTCTTTTAAATTGATTTTTAGCCCGGCAAGCTACCGAGAGTATTCGATATGCCAGACACAGTAACAACAAAGTCTCCAATGGAGACGTTACTGGGCCCGCTCGAGCAAATCGACGATCAACGGGAGGGCCTTTACCTTTACCTTTATTAAAAACACCGTTATTTACAAAGCTGTTTCTGATGCAGCTGTTTCAAGCATTTAAAGGTTCCAACACCACAGTGTGACCTTCTTTCTCCACTACACCCAGTTTCCTTCCTATTCCCAACCTACCCCCTTTGGCACATAACAAATTTGCTTTATATAGTTTATTCCAAAAAAGAGAATGATCAAAGAGTAAATCAGTAAGGGCCAATTAGTGATTACTATATGATTTTGACCTATGTAAAAAAGAAAATTGAGGGGCCAGAGCAATAGTACAGTGGGTAGGGTGTTTGCCTTGCACGTGGCCAACCTGGGTTCGATTCCCAGCATCCCATATGGTCCCCCAGCACTGCCAGGAGTGATTCTTGAGTGCAGAGCCAGGAGTAACCCCTGAGCATTGTCAGGTGTGATCCAAAAAAGCAAAAAGTAAATAAATAATTAAAAAGAGAAAGAAATTAGAGCCATTTAATACAGTATTTTTAAAATGCCTATTCACATTTACTTATATACATTTTCAACTCTGGAGTATAAAGATCATCGATTTGCTCGAGCGGGCCCAGTAACGTCTCCATTGTGAGACTTGTTGTTACTGTGTTTGGCATATCCAATACGTCACGGGTAGCTTGCCAGGCTTTGCCGTGCGGGCGAAATATTCTCGGTAACTTGCCGGGCTCTCCAAGAGGGGCGGAAGAATCGAACCCGGGTCAGCCTGGCCGGCCGCGTGCAAGGCAAATGCCCTACTGCTGTGCTATCGCTCCAACCCGGAGTATAAAGTATATTACATTATATTTTATTGTATACTTGGATCTCCTTATGGTAATAATCATGTCTTACATGAAGTTGTGACCAGTTTTATTTGTAACTATGATGGGACAGCCACTAGAATTAATTCAGCCTCACTTTTGTTTGTCCTTTTGAAGCTTGGCTTGCCCTCTCCCTCACTGGTTCCAAGGCAACCAGTTGAGTTCCTGTTTCATGGCTTTTTCCTCTCTCCTGTCCCTTCGTTGCTACGGTCACTGTTGTGGTATCTGGGAGTGACACTGTATGGTGGGGGCATGTCAGAGTTCACACACTTGGGGTGCCAGGGATCACACACACTATGAGGGTGCCACCAGCATCTGACTCTGCATGAGGACAGTGCTGGGGATTATAAAGCCTCAAGCCTACCATGGAACCACATCCCAGGACCCTCAGTGCTCAGGGGCTTCTCCCAGAGCAGTGTTCAGGAGATGCTCCAAGATAAGTGCTCAGGAAATGCGCCTAAATTATTATTCAGGAGCTACTCCCAGATCAGTGCTCAGGGATACTCCCAGCCGGGTTCGATTCCTCCATTCCTCTCGGAGAGCCCGACAAACTACCGAGAGTATCTCGCCCACATGGCAAAGCCTGGCGAGCTCCCCATGACGTATTCGATATGCCAAACACAGTAACAAGAAGTCTCACGATGGAGTTGTTACTGGGCCCACTCGAGCAAATCGATGAACAACGGGAGGACAGTGCTAGAGTGCAGTGGAAGAGAAAGAATAAGCGAGAGGCTGACCCATGTTCTCTGTTTGTTGCAGTATTCGTTGAATGAAAGGAAGCTACTTGAAATGAGGACGGAAATGGTGGCCCTGGTAAGAATGGGACTGGCTCACTTCAGTCCTCTGACTCAGGATCTCGGCCTCCCCTGCTCTCTGCACCGTCTCCCCAGGCAGGGGACATGCAGACTCGTATCACAGGAATTTTTCCCCCTAGTTAAGGCAAAGTGCACTCACACATTTGGGCGGCCCTCATCCCCATCTGGCCTCGGAAGTATTTTCATCATCTTGCAAAACGGAAACTTTCCCGATTAAATACTCATTTTCCATCCTTCCCCCAACCCCACGCCCACCCGCACCCCTAGCTACTGCACTTCTGCATCCTGTGACCTGTGACCTCATGGGATCATCCTGTAGTATTTGTCCTTTGGTTTGATCTTTTTTTTTTTTTTTGTCTGGAAGGTTTTGGGTTTGGGTTTGGGGGCTACCCCTGCTGGTGGTACTCAAGGGACCAGGTGTGGTGCTGAGCCAGGATCAGCCACATGCAAGGCGAGCATCTTTACCCCCTGGCTTCTCTCCATCCCCTGGTTATTTTTCCAAAAGGGTTTTGTGCATCCTTTCCATTCAGAGGGATTTGGAAGGATCAGAGAGTTCCATTGTATGGAGACAGAATGGCTTCACCAGGGGAACTCGAGCGAGGTAGCACATTTGATTTCCTGAGCAGGTCTGAAACAGGGCAATTGGTATTCATTTATTTATCTTTGGGCAGAAGGAAGCAGGCGTAGAGGTGTGAGGGTCTGTGCGCTCCTAGCATGAGACTGAAGCCCCGGCCTCCTCTAGTTAGCCCAGTGTTGGGAAGGGCCACTTGGATTGAGCGCAGAGGGGACAGCACCCGGAAGATCTGATGCTGGGAATCTGTTGCTCTCACCAGCACGCACAGCAAGACCGGGCCGTCACCCAGACCGACAGGAAGATTGACACGGAAGTTGCCGGCCTGAAAACCATGCTGGAGTCACACAAGCTGGATAACATTAAATATCTCGCTGGTGAGTTGTTTTGAATCAAGGAGATTAAAGTAAGCCAAAATAAATAAATCAAAGGAGGGCTGGAGAGATAGCACAGCAGGTAGGGCGTTTGCCTTGCATGCTGTCAATCTGGATTTGGATTCGATTTCCAGCATCCCATATGGTCCCCTGAGCACCGCCCAGAGTGATCCCTGATTGTACAGCCAGGATAACCCCTGTGCATCACCGGATATGGCCCCAAAAGTAAATAAATAAATAAATAGATAGATAGATGGAATATAATTTATAAAATAAGTCAAAGGCCGGTATTTCAGTTCACGATGCTATACTTTTTTCACAATTGAACGACGGCCTCTGAAATTGGACAGAAGTTTTCAATTTCCAAGAGATGGTCTACTATATTATAATTGTTTTCTTTTTTTCTTTAGTAGATAAAATGATGTGCTTTACAATTGGTGGGATTTGATAAGATGCTGCCATTTGATAAAATGGAACTGCCATTGAGTGGCTTTTGTTCTTTGTTTGTTCTTGGACCACACCTGGGTATGCTCAGGGCTGACTCCTGGCTCTGCACTCAGGGGTCATTCCTGGTGGGCTCAGGGGAATTTACAGGGTGCCGGGCATTGAATTCAGGTCAGTGGGATCAAACTCAGGTCAGCTGCGTACAAGGCAAGCACCCTACTCTGGACTACCACTCCAGCTTCTGGATTTTTTGGCATGAAATTCAAGACTGAATGTTTTACAGAAACAATGAAAGGTTTTGATCTTCCAGCCTAGATTGGTATAAGAAGTTATTTTGTTTGCAGATTTTGAGCCAAAGGAGGGATTGATTATTAATGTTTAAAAGTATGTAGTCATTGTTTTACTTCAAACTTGACAGCTTGAATTAATGAGTAATTTAAAGTTAGTGTGGTATTTAAACATGACATTTTACTCACTAGGTTAAAGGGTATTTCCCTGTATGATCTTGTACGTAGGTTTATGTGTCTGAATCTAAACTTTCACTGAAACAAGTTCTCTTGAATTTTTTGATATATATATATATATATATTCTTTTTAATGTAGGACTACTGCTATTTTTTCAGCCATTGATTAAGCTGATTGAATTGGGTATGAAATCCACATTACTTTTTAAAAATTTTTTTAAATTGGATATTCGTGAGATCGACCATTACAAAGTTGTTCATAATTGGGTTTCAGTCATACAATGCAGATACATTTATATTGCAAAGATAATGGTATCAAATCGTGGAGTGTCTTGTTTTTTGTTTTTGGGGTTTTTTTTTTTTTTGCTTTTTGTTTTTTTTGGGGTTTTTTTTTTTTTTTTTTTTTTTTGCTTTTTTGGGTCACACCCAGCAATGCTCAGGGGTTGCTCCTGGCTCTGCCCTCAGGAATTACTCCTGGCAGTGCTTGGGGGACCATATGGGATGCCGGGGATGGAACCCAGGTCGGCCACGTGCAAGGCAAACGCCCTACCTGCTGTGCTATCGCTCCGGCCCGTGATTTGTTACTTAATAGACTAATGTTTTGTGGAATATGATATGGCAACTCTTCCATAAAACATCCCTGAAGACTCTTTTTTTTTTTTTCTTTTCCTGGGGTAGGTGCATGTGTGTTTTTTGTTTGGGTTTTGGTTTGTTTGTTAGGTACTCAGAGGTTACTCCTGGCTCTGTGCTCGCTCAGGAATTACTCCTGGCGGCGCTTGGGAGTGCTTGGGGGAATTGAACCCAGGTGGGCTGCATGCAAGGCAACTACCCCGCCCACTATATTATTGCTCTGGTCCCAAGAGTATTTTCTTGGTACACATTTTTTTCAACTATTAGTAGCCCTAATGCTGCTCTCAACTGCATTTTTCTTCCAGGGTCTGTATTTACGTGCCTGACGGTTGCACTGGGATTCTACCGCCTCTGGATCTAGTGACGTGTCTACTGAAAGAAATCTCTGCTTTGGCCTTACGATGCCAGATTGGTTTCCTTGCCCCTCTCTCCGCCATTCAGATTCGAACCCTGATGTTGATTGAATGCAGATTATTTATTTTATGTAAATACGGACATAAACTCAGGACGAGCAACCAGAAGTCCCCCGCCCTCTTCCCTGCGTGCTCCTCTGCTCTCTGCTGTGGCCTGGACACACAGCCCCGCAGTGACTGTTTGCGAGTCTCTAGCCACAAACCCTTTGTCGTGTCAGGGATTCAGAGTTCTCTGTCCCACAGGCTCTGTGGCTGTTCTGAGGGCTGATGGGTCACTGAGCCTGGACGGGAGCCCCTCCCCAAACTGTGTCCTCACCCGCTCCCTGGCTCCCTTCTCGCTCCCATGCTGAGGAGTCTTCCGGCTGGGGAGCACTCCTCTGCCGAAGACACGCTGTACTCTCCACCCAGAGCTTTCTCTTCGCACCTCCGGGGACTCAAGTTATTGTTCTATGTGCCTCTATGTCCATGACCCTCTCACATTTCTACGTGCCTTCCAGCCAGGCAAGCTCATTCCCCAGTGAAGTGTATGTGTGCTGCCTCTCTCCCTCTCTCTGTCTCTTTCTCCCACTCCCTCCCTCCTTCCCTCCCTCCCTCCCTCCCTCCCTGTCTCCCTCTCTCTTTCGTTTCCTCCCTCCCTCCCCCCCCCACATGTTTTAGCACTGAAGGAGCCCTCCAGCTGTGGCCTTACCACCCAGACAACTCGCTCTCCATCCTTCACATGAATTGCTTCTGTTCGCAGATTAGAGTTGTACTCCTGCTCATCTTCATCTGCCTTTTATACCAAAGGGCCAATCTGCCTCCCTCTGTTTCCAGGCTTCCAGGTGTCTCAGAAGCATGGACACTTTTGAAAAATGACACTTGGGTCTTTGGTCCCTCTGTGGCCTGCTGCAAGCTCTGATGGTGTCTGTCTTCCAAACTAGAGAACTGACAAACAGGGAATCCCTTGGGAGGCTAGTGATGTCCAAGCCGGCGACTCTCTCCTGCCTGTTGAAAGCTTCCTGTTGAAAGCAAGAAGGTGTCTACAGATGTAGCCTGGGCTCTTTGTGGAGGCTGTCCTCTTGCTTTCGTGACCTGAGTGCCTGGGAGGACTTTGCATATGTTCCTACACACAGCCAGGCTGGTGGAATCAATGAGCCACAATCCTTGACAGAAAAGTCACTTCAATTTCCTTGAGTGTCCTGTTTAAATTTGGGGAAGTGTTTTGTCCTTGTCTCCTTCTCTCTCTCTCTCTCTCTCTCTCTCTCTCTCTCTCTCTCTCTCTCTCTCTCTTTCTTTTTGGGCCACACCTGGCGATATTCAGAGGTTGCTCCTGGCTCATGCACTCAGGAATTAGTCCTGGCGGTGCTCCGGGGGCCATATGGGATGCTGGGAATCGAACCCAGGTTGGCTGTGTGCAAGGCAAATTCCCAACTCGCTGGACTATTGCTCCAGCCCCTCATCCTTGTCTCTTAAGAAAGAGTAGCATAAAAATTCTGAGTTCCAAAGAAGTACAAAAATCGTGTACTCTTGTGTTCACGGAGCAATTTCAAGGTGGAATGTAATCTTTTTGGCTAGACCTAAAGTGGCCTTAACTGCTCGGCAAAGTATGTTCGCCTTGCAGAGAGAGCCTTGGAAAACATGGGTTGTCATGCAGTTCCCTTAAGTGTTAAATGCTGCAGTGAAGGACATTCGATAAGACCCGATTTACAGCCAACTGATGTGGATTTAGCTTGGCAGTGGGGGCTTAGGTGGGAGGAGAGTGGGGGGGACGACCCCTCCAAAGTAGAGAACCCCCAAGAGGGAGCTTTCACACAATGATGTCTCAAAGCAACACACTCATGCGAGTAGGTTAAAAGCAAAACTCCAATGCCCCTTCCATCCCGAGACGCGCTTTTTAAAGGAACTCTCAAGGGGTGGCATTTTGAGTGCCGGGAGGGTGGCCAGGGATAGGCGGGCACCTGTCCTGTCCCCCGCGTGGTTCCAGCCTTGGGTTTAGCTGTGTGGGGGTCACCTCATAGTCCAGACCACCAGCCCTTGACCGGTCAGTGATGAACGTGCCTCCCAAGGATGATGCTATGGGTCCAGGACTCCTCTCTCTGTCCTCTCCACCATATTCTACCTGTAAAAAAAAGTTCCCACCAGGTTTCTCATCCCGCCAGGCACGTGTGACTGCCACAGGGGGCTTCCCACTGCCAGACTTGTAGGATCGGGGACATTTCAGGGAAGAGGCCTCGGATAAGGATGTTTTCTAGCACGACTGAAGCTCGCTTACAAGCCCCTGTGTCTGGAACCTCGGAGGAAGTCTCTGTCTTTCCTTCCCCTATACTCATCACCCTGTTCCTCCCACCTCTCTGCCTGCCCACCCCTCCCTGGGCCCTGCCCTTTGCCTTACTCAGGGAGCCTAAATTCAAGTTCTGTGGTGCCTGCTCCGTTTGTCAGGTTTTTTTTTGGGGGGGGGGGTCACACCCGGTGATGCACATGGGTTACTCCTGGCTCAGACACTCAGGAGTTACTCCTGGCGGTGCTTGGGGGACCATATGGGATGGTGGGAATCGAACCTGGGTTGACTGGGTGCAAGGCAAATGCCCTACCTGCTGTGCAATCGCTCCAGACCTGTTTCTGTTTGTCAGGTTTTTAAGGAGATGCTGATTTAGATTTTTTTTTTTTCCTGGGCTCTCTTTGCCCTCGGCTGGGCTTGCTGCTGAGTCCTGAAGCGTTGAACTTCTGAGTAGATGCTCTCATCCCGGAAGTAGGCCACCAGGACCTCAGCTAAAAGTCACACATTGGCTCAACGTGAATCAGCTGTCTTGTTGGAATTGCTCATTGAATATTAACTGCTCTGATGCATGTTCCAGCAGGGCCCATCTCCTTGGACAGATGGGCTGTCCCCTGGTGGGCCAAGCTCTGGGTGTATTGGGTGTATGTCTCCCTCCTCTTGGCCCAGCACCACCCCCACCCCCCACCCCCCATCTCCCCAGGGCTGATCCTGGCCTATATCCTCCAAGGCACAGGCTCTGCCCTGAGAGTCCCGATCTCTTTCCTGGACACATAATGATGGTACCTTCGTCGCTAGGAAACTAGGCTGTGGTATCATTTATCATATTTCTCGTGGCCTTTTGACAAGCAAAGCAAAAACATGTTAACCAGAAGTAATTTATTCCTCATGTCCATGACATGCTTGAGAATGTTCAGTCTCCCGTTGGGCTTTTGTTTGGAAAACATCTTTCTACAAGATGTAAAACTATGATTATAATGTAAATCCTCTGATTATAACCCAAATCACTTCTGGAGCCTTTTTATTACTAAAGTAAATGTTTAATTGTATTTTTATATAATAAAGTTGGATATACTATTTTTATCATCTAAAATAAAAGTATTTAATTTCCTTCCGTGTGATATACTGTTGTAATTGTTCAAATTGAATATGGAAACCAAGAACAACTTCTGCCTGCCCTTTATTTCAACGGTTACTCCTTCCCGTTGTCTGTGAGTCGATTGATGGAACACAAGAAAATCTACTACCTAAGAATTTGGATTTCCATAGATAAACTTGAACATAACTGATTTGCAAAATAAATTTTCACTGAAACGCCCTCAGCACGTTTGTGTGAGATCTTTTCATTCCTTGTTTGAAGGGAACTCACACAAGATTTTAGGATTTTAGGGTTTTGCAACCCGAGTCAGGAAAGCTTAAGTTGAAAGAAAGAGCTCCTTTTATTTTTATTCATGTTTCATTTGCATGATCAAATTTCAAGAAAGGCCAAATGCAAGTGGCAAGTGTCATCAGAACACTTCCTGAATCCCCTTAACTCCACCTTTTTTCATTTTTTATTTTATTTTATTTTGCTTGTTGGGTCACACCCAATGATGCTCAGGGGTTACTCCTGGCTCTGCACTCAGGAATTACTCCTGGCGGTGCTCGGGGGACCGTATGGGATGCTGGGAATCGAACCCGGGTAAGCGGCATGCAGGGAAAATGCCCTACCTGCTATACTATTGCTCCAGCCACCATTCAGAGGGTTTTAACAACACAAACTTCTCAGGAGCACTTCCTGGAGGAGCAAAGGGGAGTAGGACACAGGACCCACGGTCTGCTTTGGTGAGGGGCTGCTGGTTGCCCTGGGCCAGCTTCTAGGCCAAAGATAGACACATTTTCTGTCTCTGTCTCTGTCTCTTGGGCCACACCTGGCAGTACTATATAAGATACCAGGGATTGAACCTGGGTCACCTGCCTGCAAGGCAAATGCTTGCTGTACTATCTCTCCGGCCCTGCTTTTATAAAATTTTTAATTTTTTTCTTTTTTTTTTTTTTGCTTTTTTTGCTTTTTGGGCTGGAGCGATAGCACAGCGGGTAGGGCGTTCGCCTTACAAGCGGCCAACATGGCCGACCCGAGTTCGATTCCTCCGCCCCTCTCGGAGAGCCCGGCAAGCTACCGAGAGTATTGGATATGCCAGACACAGTAACAACAAAGTCTCCAATGGAGACGTTACTGGGCCCGCTCGAGCAAATCGACGATCAACGGGAGGGCCTTTACCTTTTACCTTTACCTTTGCTTTTTGGGTCACACCCAGCGATGCTCAGGGGTTACTACTGGCTCATGCACTTAGGAATTACTCCTGGCGGTGCTTGGGGGACCACATGGGATGCTGGGAATCGAACCAGGGTCGGCCGCGTGGAAGGCAAATGCCCTACCCACTGTGCTATCACTCCAGCCCCTCCACTTTCTCTCTGGAGCAGGCCGTCTTCCAGGTGTGGAGAGCAGGCTCAGCTAAGGAATACCCACTTGGAAATGTCTGGAAGGAATCTCCATGGCTCCATCAATCAAGCAGAACAGCCCAGGGGACACACGTGCCCAGTGGGCTGAGAAACCCGGTGGGAACTTTTCCTTACAAGTAGAGTATGGTGGAGTGGACAGAGAAGAGTCCTGGGCCCACAGCACCAGAAAGTGGACGGCAGCCTTCAACCTCCCTGATGACCTGTGGGCAGGATGGAACACCCCCACACACCCTGTGCCAACTGCAGACTATAGGCGGGCACCTTTGGTCACCCACGGTGCTCAAACTGTAGACTCAAGGAATGACATAAGAAAGTGGGTAAATGAATTCAAAAGCTCAGAATTTTTTCCAACCAGAACTGTATCCAGGGACTGGAGCGATAGTCCTGGGTTCGATCCCCGGCATCCCATATAGTCTCCTGAGCACCACCAGGAACAACTTCTGAATGCAGAGCCAGGGGGAACCCCTGAGCTTTGCCAAGTGTCACCCCCCCCCTAAAAAAAAGCAAGAACGGTATCCAGTAAGAAGGCCAACTAAACTAGATTTGAGGGTTGGGTGTCTAAAAGAATGGCAAATACTGTGGGCAAAGACCCTCTCTCACCTTTGTGTGTAAACGTGGTACAGACAGGGCTGAGCCATAGAACAGGGGATGAGGCACTTAGTTGCCTTGCAGGTGGCCAGTGGCCAACCCTGGTGCCATCCTTGGCACCACAAATGATCCCCTGAGCACCACTGGGTGGGACCTCAGAACAATTGGCATGTGTTGGGCATTTTGCCGACCTTGCCTTCTCCTCTGTGGTAATGGACGAAAGAAAACCTTCCATGGGGCCCGAGAAATAATACCGTGGTTAGGACA